ACGTCGTTTTCGGGTTCGTGGAATTGAACATTTAAGTTTTAAATGTGGGTTTCCTTATGAGGCTCGTCCCACATTGAAACTTTAAGAGAGTTTATTTGTGTATATAAGCTTTAGCCTACAACACTTGGGTTGGGCCCCAAGAGGCACCCCAAGTTTGTAGAATGGAGGAGTTATGGATAAAGTGAACCTTAGCTCAAACCACCACACACGCGCGCTCGCCGCCGCTGCCGTCCGGCCGAGCCGTGCCGGGTGGGGATCGGGTCGGTTCTTGTATTAATTTTTTGGACAAAATTCATTTGAATTTTTTCAAAAAATATTGCGGGAATTTAATTCAAATTTGAATTCCAATTTCTGTCCAAAATTCCTCAACAGATTAAAACTGTTTTTCAGTTTTTTAACTTCCAAAAACTGCCAGCAGTTCCGGGTTTAACTGTCCAGCAGTTAAATCTATTCAAACAGGTTAGATCTGTTTGAATTTTGAAGTATACCTGTTCAATTCAAATACCCATCTGTTCAGTTCAAAATTCTGCACCTATTCGGCTCTATATATACCAGCACTGTCCAATAATTTTTGAAAATCTGAAAATCAGTCTGAAAAATAAATAATGTTGTCAAGAATTTTCTCCTTTGCATTTTATTCTTCATTCTAGTTTTAGAATAAATATTCAGAGAGTTAGATCACAGCCGAACAATTTGTTTTAGAGTGCTACTACAAATTGGTTAAAATCATTGTATCTTGGGAGATAAACACCACTCAACTGTAAGCACCGTAGCGGAGCGAATCTGTCTTAAAGACTGAGTGTCACACACACTCGACTTGGTTTTTGAATTATTTATTTGGTTCTACAAAATAAACACTGTAAGTTTTATTTTATTTTGTTTGATTTATTTCAATTTATTTTATTTACACAGAAGATTGTTCTAACAACGGCGTCATCACCGGCGCCGGCTAGGGTTTGCAGTGGCACCATAGATCTTCCAACCCCTTCCCATCGCTACCAAAACCCCCTTTCACAAAAGCATGAGAGTGAGAGAGAGAGAGAGCGCGCGAGAGAGAGAAAGAGAGAGAGGTGCAATTTACTGAAAGGAAAGATCGCGAAATCTAAGTTGTGGGAGAGTGCTTGCGACAAAGGGAGAAGGTGAGAGAGGCGCTGGCAACTGCGGGAGGATGCAGGAGAGGGGTTGACAACGGCAGGAGGTGGGGAAGTTACTGGCGGCGGCGGCGGCGGCGGCGGCGGCGGTGATGGGAGGAGGAGCTGCTAGTTAGGGTTTCGGAGAAGACAGAAAAGAGAGAAAATAGAAGATGATATTTTGGTAATTCTTTTTATGAACAGAATAGTAATTAAAAAAAATGGTATGGGATGAGTAAATTAGTGGTGTGTAAATAGAGGCATCCCTAGACACAAGTTCTATTAAAAAAAAATTCATTAACGATCTTAATTCTTTTGGGCTTTTTTTTTCTTTTTTTTTTTTTTTTTTTTTTTTTTTTTTTTTTTTTTGGCTTGCTTGCTTGATGAAAAGGATTAGAGTTGGCCACTAACCACAGCAATTATCGTTGGACTTCATAAAAAAAGAGTCTCTATTTGTTGGAGAGCTGGAGAGGAGAAATCTAGATCAACCCTACAAAATGGGAGAACCACATGGACTTTCTCAAAACAAATTTAAACCATTTCCTAACCCCAAACGCATTAAACTCTAGCTACTGAAAACCAAGAGGAGTGAATACAAAGAATAGAGGTAAATGAGAAGTGGGTTGGCCCATGGAGACTCCAAACCATGGAACTATTACAAATTTTCTTGATAAAGAAATCTAGGCATATCAAAAAATTTACAAAATTTGCACAAGAATCCCACAACAATTGTGACCCCTAACATGCCATTTTGTGATCGCCAGTGTAACTTTACATTAAAATTTTCTAACTACTATTTTTTATTTTATTATACACATTTTAGTCACAAAAAAAAAAAAAAAAAAACTAAATTAAACAATTCTCTTCCTTCCTTAAATAGTGGCAACATTCATTTAAACAAGTTGCAAAAATGATTGAGACATCTCATCTACTCATCCTAGTAGTGGGCATGTGCAAATGTTAAAAGTCTACAAAGAACTAACATCATTAATAAATAAAAGATACTAATATAACATTAATAATGCATTACTCAACATCACTTACATATATACATACATATATTCATGTTTTTATAATTCCTACGGTCAACTGAAAGTTCAATATTAAAGTGGTTGAAACTTCATTTTCTTGTTTAACAGAAAAAACATAAATTAGATTTTATTATTCATAGAAAATGACACTTTGAATTCCATGTATCTGTATTTGGAGTTTAGTTAGTTATATATATATATATATTTTTTCTTTGATGTCATCTCATGATTAATTAGTGTACTAATCCACCATGGCCACTCCACTCCACTCCACTGCCTTCAACAACTACAAGATATATACATACATGTAGGGACCAAAACTTAATTTAAAAAGAAAATCACATAAATTCATTTTTCTTTTTTCCGCTCATGAGGATGTTAGAGTTTCACCTCAACTAATCTGAGTAATGTGCAGTCTCATTTCACATATGATGAATATAAGCCTGTTGAGAGAGTGGGAAGTGGGAAATGAAAATTTTAACTACTGGACCGAATAAATATATATATATATATATATAAACAAAAGCACTGTGATTAGCTCAAAAATAGGCAAACAGTATGGTTAATTCAGACTAAAGACAAGTTGTATTCAAAAAATAAATAGTTGAGCATGAGGAGGTGGCCAACAATTTGTACTTTATTTTATTTTTTTTGAAAAGAGGAGGTGCCCAACCATAGCAATCATGGTTGAACACACTTACCCACTAGAGAGCTAAACAAGAAAAGGCTAGACAAAACCGACAAAACGAGAGAACTGCAAATACTTCCTCAAGACAAACTTGAGCCATAACTCGACCCAATTTCACCAAGGTCTAGCGAGCAGAACCAAGGAGGAAAAGTTGATGATTATTGTATCATCCCAAGGAGACTCAAAACCATGAAGCTACTTCACATTTTCTTAATTAAAAATCTAGAAATATCAACAACAAAAAAATTACAAAATTTGTAGTGGACTCAACAACTATTGTGAGCGTCTAGGTAGGGAAAAGCTTAAGACTCCTAAAATCACCCTTAAATTTACTCCAATCATAGACAGTTACACGTCAATTATTGATCAGTATAGAAATCAAACACTTATGAAACAAATATCATGTTTTTATGAGTGAAATCATATTTTAAGAGTCTCTAGCAAAAGCACATCTCGGTAACTTTTCATGAAAAATTTCTAACTACTATCTTGATTTAATTATACACATTTTAGTCACCCACAAGAAATTTCATTAAGCATTTCTTTCCTAACTTGTGATAACAACAAACGCAAAATGACAAGACATCTCATCTACTAAAACTAGAAGCGTGTGCAATATTAACAAAGCTCTAACATCATTAACTGAAAAAAGATAATAGCATTAACAGTAATAATGTATCGCACAACATCACTATATGCATCACTATATATGAATGTTTTTTAATTCCTACACAACTGAGAGTCCAATTAATAGTTTTCTTTTTTCTCGTGTGCAATATTCCTAGTTGTTGAAACTCATTTTTCTAAAGATGACAGTTTAAATTCCCTGTACTTATCTTTGCAGTTTAGAGATATATATATATATATATATATATGTATATGTGCGTGTGCGTGTGCGTGCATATGCCAAAATTTTATTTAAAAAGAGAACATAAAGTCTATTTATTTTTTTATTTTATTTTTTTTTTGGGGGGGGTCCATGAGGATGTCCTGGGTTTCGATCCAACTAATTCCCAAGTAATATGTAGTCTCCCGTTCCACATATACCAGATATAATTATTGGGTTTAATCCTCCTCAAGAGGGAGTGAGAACTAAGAAATAAAAATTTAACTATTAGTTTATTTCTTAAAGTTCGAACCATAATTTTTAGCATTTCTTTTCCTAACTTGTGGTAACATCACTTAAACAATTCTTGCAAAAATGATAAGACAACTCATCTACTAAAACTAGTATCATGAGCAATATTAACCAAGTCTACAAACCTCTAATGTCATTAATTAATAAAAGTTAATCACATTAATAATGCATTACCCAACATCACTATCTGCATCATTATCATATATGTATGTTTTATAATTCATAGAAACAACAATTGAGAATCTAATAACTTTCTTGCTTCTTGCAATTAAGTTGCTGAAACTCTATTTTCTGGCTAACAGAAAAAATAGATTAGATTTTATTATTCATTAAAAAATGACACTTGTATAACAAAAATAGTACACTAGAAGAACTCTCTCAATATTTCAGAACACTCACTTACACTAAACACTTTGGCGCACTTAAACACACGCCACTCAAGCTCACTTGATTATGTAGCTTGTTCCTTGTCATCCCATATTTATACTAGTTCAAGAGTGAGGAGTTTCTATAAGAAACCTCATCCACAAATTGAGTTATGCAAAATTAATGGTTGATAAATGATGAAATTTGAGTAGGTAAAATGTGTGATGAGGAATTTACTTCTAGGACATTCAAGTGTAATAAAATCTTCTAGAATTATCTTATGGGAGAAAAGAAAGTATCTGAAGAAGATTGTAGAAAAGATAAAACAGAAGTCAGTGGTGATTCTTAACAACTAATGCAACCTTTAACAACTACAAGATTGCATACCTACAAACACACACATCTATTCGTGTAGCTCGTGTACCTCAACTAATTCTAGACTCTAAAGTTAATAACCAAGCAAACCTCCAGTGACTCTTTAGGATGACTTAAACTTGAGACATTAGATTTTATAGTCAAGGCTTTACCGCTCAACTAAACCCTTGGGTTACCTACAAAAATATATATATATATGTACGTACCAAAATTTTATGTTTGATACAAGAAAATATAAAAAAAATAATTTTCTAGCCACAAAAAAAAAAATTTATGAATCAGCAGAATGGATTTTTTTTCTAGTTTTTTGTTACAATTTAGAGTTGATGTTTCAGTTCTCATTTCTGTTGAACATTAGATGTAAAATTACAAGATAGAAACAATAAAAGGAGAAAAATATATAAATGTAGTATATATTCATCTATATTGAATTGCCGGTGTAAGCTGAACCACTTATCGGACAAATTTTTGACTTGTTTGGAGAACCTGATCTGTTTTTCCATCTAAGATCATCTCATCACCAGTCAATTCCAAACTACATACATATATACAGTTAGAACTCTTCATCGTCGAGGGTTGACCTTGTAATGGGTATTGACCACCTTCCCAGATGAGCAGTGTAGTTTATGCATCTGATAACACTTCTTCCAGTTGCTCCATCTGGGAAGTCAATGACACTGATGCTACCAGCATCAAGATGAAACAATCCCATCCATTCTTTTGTCAGATTCAGGCAGTGCACCATCAGTGCAATGTGAGCCACAGGATGACCGACTGCTACGACAATATTTCCTGCCTCAGACCCACTGCATAGCTCCTCCAGTAAAGATTTCCAGGCCTGCCCTGACTTATCCCACAATGCTGTCATCACTCCATCTTCATATCCATTTAACCAACCAGACCGAAGATATGGAACTTCAGTTGCATCCTGTGGAACAAAGAAATAAAATAAAACCAGCCAACTCAAGACTCCATAAGCTATGTTGTATCGGGTGCAGGTGCGGGTGCGTATTGGGGGTTGGACACTTCAAAACTAAAAATTGAGGATACATAAATATGGATCCAAATGCGGATACGGGTATGGAGATAAGTTCAATAGTTATTTTTAAAATATATTCATTATATAAAGATGAGTTAAATAGTTATTTTTTAAATATATTTATTATTTTTTATCTTATGTATTATTTTTATTGATAATATTTTTAATAATTTATCTATATAATTTATTTTTTTATTTTTAATTGACATATATATGTTATAAATAAAAAATATTTTTTTTTGGGGGGTCCTGGGTTTCGATCCAACTAATTCCCAAGTAATATGTAGTCTCCCGTTCCACATATACCAAATATAATTATTGGGTTTAAGCCTCCTCAAGAGGGAGTGAGAACTAAGAAATAAAAATTTAACTATTAGTTTATTTCTTAAAGTTCGAACCATAATTTTTAACATTTCTTTTCCTAACTTGTGGTAACATCATTTAAACAATTCTTGCAAAAATGATAAGACAACTCATCTACTAAAACTAGTATCATGAGCAATATTAACCAAGTCTACAAACCTCTAATGTCATTAATTAATAAAAGATAATCACATTAATAATGCATTACCCAACATCACTATCTGCATCATTATCATATATGTATGTTTTATAATTCATAGAAACAACAATTGAGAATCTAATAACTTTCTTGCTTCTTGCAATTAAGTTGCTGAAACTCTATTTTCTGGCTAACAGAAAAAATAGATTAGATTTTATTATTCATTAAAAAATGACACTTGTATAACAAAAATAGTACACTAGAAGAACTCTCTCAATATTTCAGAACACTCACTTACACTAAACACTTTGGCGCACTTAAACACACGCCACTCAAGCTCACTTGATTATGTAGCTTGTTCCTTGTCATCCCATATTTATACTAGTTCAAGAGTGAGGAGTTTCTATAAGAAACCTCATCCACAAATTGAGTTATGCAAAATTAATGGTTGATAAATGATGAAATTTGAGTAGGTAAAATGTGTGATGAGGAATTTACTTCTAGGACATTCAAGTGTAATAAAATCTTCTAGAATTAGGGAGAAAAGAAAGTATCTGAAGAAGATTGTAGAAAAGATAAAACAGAAGCCAGTGGTGATTCTTAACAACTAATGCAACCTTTAACAACTACAAGATTGCGTACCTACAAACACACACATATCTATTCGTGTAGCTCGTGTACCTCAACTAATTCTAGACTCTAAAGTTAATAACCAAGCAAACCTCCAGTGACTCTTTGGGATGACTTAAACTTGAGACATTAGATTTTATAGTCAAGGCTTTACCGCTCAGCTAAACCCTTGGGTTACCTACAAAAATATATATATATGTACGTACCAAAATTTTATGTTTGATACAAGAAAATATAAAAAAAAAAAATTTCTAGCCACAAAAAAAAAAATTTATGAATCAGCAGAATGGATTTTTTTTCTAGTTTTTTGTTACAATTTAGAGTTGATGTTTCAGTTCTCATTTCTGTTGAACATTAGATGTAAAATTACAAGATAGAAACAATAAAAGGAGAAAAATATATAAATGTAGTATATATTCATCTATATTGAATTGCCGGTGTAAGCTGAGCCACTTATCGGACAAATTTTTGACTTGTTTGGAGAACCTGATCTGTTTTTCCATCGAAGATCATCTCATCACCAGTCAATTCCAAACTACATACATATATACAGTTAGAACTCTTCATCGTCGAGGGTTGACCTTGTAATGGGTATTGACCACCTTCCCAGATGAGCAGTGTAGTTTATGCATCTGATAACACTTCTTCCAGTTGCTCCATCTGGGAAGTCAATGACACTGATGCTACCAGCATCAAGATGAAACAATCCCATCCATTCTTTTGTCAGATTCAGGCAGTGCACCATCAGTGCAATGTGAGCCACAGGATGACCAACTGCTACGACAATATTTCCTGCCTCAGACCCACTGGATAGCTTCTCCAGTAAAGATTTCCAGGCCTGCCCTGACTTATACCACAATGCTGTCATCACTCCATCTTCATATCCATTTAACCAACCAGACCGAAGATATGGAACTTCAGTTGCATCCTGTGGAACAAAGAAATAAAATAAAACCAGCCAACTCAAGACTCCATAAGCTATGTTGTATCGGGTGCAGGTGCGAGTGCGTATTGGGGGTTGGACACTTCAAAACTAAAAATTGAGGATACATAAATATGGATCCATATGCGGATACGGGTATGGAGATACGTTCAATAGTTATTTTTAAAATATATTCATTATATAAAGATGAGTTAAATAGTTATTTTTTAAATATATTTATTATTTTTTATCTTATGTATTATTTTTATTGATAATATTTTTAATAATTTATCTATATAATTTATTTTTTTATTTTTAATTGACATATATATGTTATAAATAAAAAATTATAATAAATAAGGAATAATAAATTATGTTAAAATAAATAAAAAATAAAAATTAGATATTTTATTTTATAAATTTTTTTAGATTTTTTTAATTATATATGATTTAATTAGATTTTTTTTAAACAATTAGATGATTTATTTATTTATTACATGTTAAAAAGTTAAGAAATAATAAATTCTATTAAAAAAAATAAAAAATAAATAATAAACAAAAATTATATTATAAACGAGCGAGAGAGGGAGAGAGAGAGAGAGAGAGAACACAACAGAGAATAGAGAAAGACGAAGAGAGAAAGAAGCACAGAGACGAAGAGGAGATCGAGAGTGAGCGAAATGAGAGACAAAAACGATCGAGATCGACAGTATGAAGAGATGAAGGCGATCGAAGCCTTGAGAGACGAAGAAGATCGAGATCAACAGTGAAAGAAGAGAGTGACAAAGACGATCGAAGCCCTAATCTCAGCCCTAATCGCAACCTCGCAGTTATGCCACCGTATCTACTTTCTCCATGTTGTATCGCGGCCAGATTCCGCACCTATACCCGTGTCGTGGCGAGTACATGTAATGTAGTCCATAAGTATATATTTGTCATTAAGGGTCATCATTTGACCTGAAGGCCCGTGACCTGACCCAAGATCGCTGGGCCAGACTGAATGAGGCTTGGGCTAGAACAAACTAGGGTTTGAAGCCCAGTCCGGCTTATTGGCCGCCTTCTAGCATGTCCATGGGCCCGACCATGGGTCCGACCAAATCAGAAAATAAGGAAAAAAAAATGAAAACAGAAAATATATATAAATAAATAAAAACTCTAAATAGGCCTCAAATCTTGGCCCAATGGGCTAAGACCACTGGCTAGCCCACAAGCCTAGCCTGTTGATCAATGAGCCCATTAGCCCACCTGACAGCCCAGTCTACGAGCCCGTCTGGGCCAAACCAGTTGAGTAAGGCTTGGACCGCGTGCCAGCCCATCCTGGGCCCGTCAGAAAAAGTCTCTTGGGCTCCAATTTTTAGGCCTGACCAGGCCCGATGCTGACCCTTATTTGTTAGATGACCTATTTGGTTGGCCAGTTGATGCAAGACAAAAAAAACTTTCAAAGCCAAATAATATATTTTCTATCACAGATCGTTTCCTAATTTGTTTTATATATCATACTTGTTTTATTTTCCTGCATCTTGCAAGCCGACCATTAAGAAATTTTGGAAAGTAAACTTGTCACTTGCCTTCTTTGATTGTTGAAGAATGTTTTCAACATCAAGGTCCTGCATCTGCTTCATTTCCACATAACGAGGCACACAATCTGCACCCAAGCAATCAGCGGCTTCTTGAACCTATAGTCACATCAACTGATGGGCATTAACTTTAGAAGGAAAATTAATGTTTTCTACGAAAGTGTGAATAAGTGTACCCAGACACAGGAACGGTGGAGAAAAGCTTACTCTGGATATGGCATCGGCCGTCTGAGCTGAGGCCATTTTAGGGCTGCTGACTATAGAGTTCACCTTTGAATCAAGAAGTAGCTCCGCTGTTTTCTGGGACTGTTATGTATGCAAGAGATGAAATCATATCATAAAACCCAAGTACCTGAACCATTTAATACCAAAATGAGAAAACTGTTGTACCTGTATGGCCCCTAGCATATTCATTGGCCCGTCACCAGTGCAAGGAATGGTAGACTGTTAAACAACAAGCACTGTTGAATTTAAGTTCTTAGATATTGAAAAGTAATAATAAAACTGATGGTTGCAAATTATATTATAACATGTATCAATATTTTCAAATGAATTTCAAAGTTCTATCTAACTATAATTTCATTATTGCAAACAATCGAGTACTTTAAAATCAGTTACCTACGATTATGTTATTGTTGTTTATTCTGAATTTACATGTACTAAATTCAACTTCAAAGAAAGAAAATCGCTAGCCCATTGAACTCGTAGAATCAGAGAGGTATGCAGTTATTTTATGCATCAGTATCGTGTTAAACTTTCAACATTTCTTATGCTTCCAAAAAGTTTTAAAGTCTCACAACAGTCTTCCAATGTTGAACACAATCTACCCAAAACTGTTAACTTCACCTCCATCTAGAATTGCAAGGATATTGCACATGCCATTATTCAATTTAAAGGTAAAATCATTCCCTAATGGCAAATTAAAAACCTAGAACTATTAACAGAGGATCACTGAAAAAATATGAGGTTAGCAGTTCAATCATAGTTCAAGAGGTCACTAAACCAGAAATTCAATAGAGACAAACCCAAGTACAGAGTTTGAGCATAAAGTATGAAAGGAGCGTATTCCCATGCCACACAACTCCTTTGAACGGTTGAAGAACACTTCAAAATGTTCTGCAGGGAAATTTTTGTATATTTTGACTTGGTGTTAATTTCAAAAGACGACCACAAGACTTCCATAGACAAATCTAACATATATTTGACAAGGCACTCAAGATCTATGAATAGAATTGCCAGAATCAAGAAAACTACAGACCACAAATTCCACCATGTGCAAACGAAAAAGAAAGAAACTCACGTTCATAATTTTGCTTACACAACCACAAAATAAATTAATATGAATGTCATACACAAAACCACTTGGCTCTCATTAAACATCATTTCACACCTCTGAGCCGCTCTGTGAGGATCCATGACAAACAAGAATTATCCGATTACTGGTTTTTCTGCCTCCAGAACTTCCAGCTGCAATAGGTGAATTTGGGGTCTGCATCAATTACAACAAAAATTATGTTCTGAGCGCCAAGGCAACCTACACTACAGGGAAACTAAAGCCTATGCTAAGTGCTCACAGTAAATGGGTTCTTTACCCTAAAAATTTAGGCATTCAACATATACTAGACCACAACTCTGATGAACAAAATGCTTAATGATCAATACCAACCATTTTGTAGGTCAGAAAAAACGATTCAATGTCATAATGTCATTACAGATATTGTTGATTGATTTAAGCAAATTGGACACAAAGTTTGTCAGTTCATGAAGGGAATAGACAACTCAATGTCATTACTGCATTGAAATTATAAAGATAATGTTGGATCACCCTTTAAGTAATATTGAAGAATGAATAGGGATACCTGATTTAAGCGATTAAGACATATATATGGAGACCCACCCTCTAGTCGTGGGGTGAAATCCAGCACACTCACGCCACAATTGCTCTGCAGCAAAATCCTGAAATACTCGGTGCCTAAGCCTGATAAATGGGAAGAAGAAACAAAGGAAAAGAGAAGAAACTATATTCAAAATGACAAATTAAAATTTCTGTCGGCAAGTCATAACAGAGAAAGTAGACAGTACCAATCGCTGTTGCAACAAGGGCCTGATTAACAGCATTGTGAGCAACCACAAGAACAGACCTGCTTTCATGAGTTAAGATTTTGGTCCAGTAGCTTCTAGCACAATCCCATAACTCCCTCACTGGATAATGACCATCAATATTAAAATTTGCCGCATCAGTTTGCCACTGATGGAAAGCCGCACCAAACTTTGCTTTTCCCTCATGCTTTAGGAGACCCTGAAGTCAATAATGGAATCAGCAACCATTACTATACCAATTCTTTGGCATGTTACGTCTTCCTATCATTAAAATATCATTGAAGCATATAATATAACTGCACATCTGATGGAAGAGATGTTGAGAAATTAAGCTAACTTGAAAGGAGTACAGGTCAATTTCCCTATACTATCAACCACCAAAGACCAAAAATTTTATACCAAACAACCAATGTTGAACACAATCTACCCAAAACTGTTAACTTCACCTCCATCTAGAATTGCAAGGATATTGCACACACTATTATTCAATTTAAAGGTAAAATCATTCCCTACAGGCAAATTAAAAACCTAGAACTATTAACAGAGGATCACTGAAAAAATATGAGGTTAGCAGTTCAATCATAGTTCAAGAGGTCACTAAACCAGAAATTCAATAGAGACAAACCCAAGTACAGAGTTTGAGCATAAAGTATGAAAGGAGCGTATTCCCATGCCACACGACTCCTTTGAACGGTTGAAGAACACTTCAAAATGTTCTGCAGGGAAATTTTTTTATATTTTGACTTGGTGTTAATTTCAAAAGATGACCACAAGACTTCCATAGACAAATCTAAAATATATTTGACAAGGCACTCAAGATCTATGAATAGAATTGCCAGAATCAAGAAAACTACAGACCACAAATTCCACCATGTGCAAACGAAAAAGAAAGAAACTCACAATCATAATTTTGCTTACACAACCACAAAATAAATTAAAATGAATGTCATACACAAAACCACTTGGCTCTCATTAAACATCATTTCACACCTCTGAGCCACTCTGTGAGGATCCATGACAAACAAGAATTATCCGATTACTGGTTTTTCTGCCTCCAGAACTTCCAGCTGCAATAGGTGAATTTGGGGTCTGCATCAATTACAACAAAAATTATGTTCTGCGCTCCAAGGCAACCTACACTACAGGGAAACTAAAGCCTATGCTAAGTGCTCACAGTAAATGGGTTCTTTACCCTAAAAATTTAGGCATTCACCATATACTAGACCACAACTCTGATGAACAAAATGCTTAATGATCAATACCAACCATTTTGTAGGTCAGAAAAAAAGATTCAATGTCATAATGTCATTACAAATATTGCTGATTGATTTAAGCAAATTGGATACAGAGTTTGTCAGTTCATGAAGGGAATAGACCACTCAATGTCATTACTGCATTGAAATTATAAAGATAATGTTGGATCACCCTTTAAGTAATATTGAAGAATGAATAGGGATACCTGATTTAAGCGATTAAGACATATATATGGAGACCCACCCTCTAGTCGTGGGGTGAAATCCAGCACACTCACACCACAATTGCTCTGCAGTAAAATCCTGAAATACTCGGTGCCTAAGCCTGATAAATAGGAAGAAGAAACGAAGGAAAAGAGAAGAAACTATATTCAAAATGACATATTAAAATTTCTGTCGGCAAGTCATAACAGAGAAAGTAGATAGTACCAATCGCTGTTGCAACGAGGGCCTGATTAACAGCATTGTGAGCAACCACAAGAACAGACCTGCTTTCGTGAGTTAAGATTTTGGTCCAGCAGCTTCTAGCACGATCCCATAACTCTCTCACTGGATAATGACCATCAATATTAAAATTTGCCGCATCAGTTTGCCACTGATGGAAAGCTGCACCAAACTTTGCTTTTCCCTCGTGCTTTAGGAGACCCTGAAGTCAACAATGGAATCAGCAACCATTACTATACCATTTCTTTGGCATGTTACGTCTTCCTATCATTAAAAAATCATTGAAGCATATAATATAATGGAAGAGATGTTGAGAAATTAAGCTAACTTGAAAGGAGTACAGGTCAATTTCCCTCAGATCAGAATCAGTAATAATCTCCTCCTTGCGAGCACTCCAAATGATTTCAGCTGTTCTCTTTGACCTATTCAGTGGACTGAAACAAACAAACCCATATGGTCAATTGCCTGTGAAGAATATGAAAGAATAAATTCTTGATCATCACTCAAGAATCAACTCAATATGAATTTGGGTGTCATATAAAGAATGGATTGAACAATTCTGTTGTACATAGTATCAAAATTCAACAAAAAAACTGAAGCCATCATCACCAAAAACAAATAATTTTTGGCTCCCATTTTCTAGAAATCAAATTGTAGCTCAAACTGCCCATTCTCTAACAGGGACCAATTCTTGATGCAACAGTAAAAGCTTCGGATGTCAAGTTTGATGATGCGGGTTTGAACCTAGGGGCAACCACTTTCTGCAGATAATGCTAAAGGTTTGGTATCTACCAATGTGACTATTCTAGCACCCCACTTATCAAGTTATTCTCCAAAATTCTAATAAAAAGCCCAAAATTATATTACATGTGTATTCGCCCCAAGACCACCCCTAATTAACAAAAAGCGAAATTAACCCTAAAAAAATCTAAAATAATGTAACCAATTAAATAAAAAATAAAATCTGGACACCTGGAGAAGCAGACATCGAAGGAGTCATCGATGAGCATGAGGCGGGAAGTCTCGGCCTGAGACTCGCCTTTCGGAGTTAGGACCGAGAAATCGGAGCTCCCTTGGATCCTACCTTCCTCATTCCACGTGCTCTGGCCGTGCCTCACCAGCACCACCCTCTTCGCCGCCCTAATCGGCGGAAACGGCACCGAAACGAAGATCTTCGAACTCCGTTCTCTCTCTCCTTCTTCCGTCGATTTCTCTTTCGGTTTCTCGATCTCTTGTACGCTCGAAGACGATCGAACCGTGAAGAGACTACTACTACTACTACTACTACTACTGATCTGGTGGTGGTTTTGCCTGAAACTTGTGGAGATGAAATTAGGGTTTCTGTGGAGGACCAAGAAGAGGTGGTCGCGGCCCAGGAGAGGCGGCGCGACGGAGAACATTTTTTTGGGAGTGTTTTTGTTTTTGGGGATTTTCTGTTGCGAATGTTTTCGCGCTAAAAGTTTATCTTTATGTGGTTTATGGTTACCGTTGCTTCTATCTATGAGACCAGTAACGGAAGGACACGTGGTCAGAAGACTCAAAATCAAATTACAGTACCAAAAATTTTTGGACAAACCTCACTTTTGGCATCTGGCTTAGGCCGGTTTAATTATCTTAGATTCTTTATTTTTTTTTAAATTCTCACTTATAAATTATAAAATTCTTAAAATTTCTCGTCCCTCTTTAATAATTCCAAAATTCAATTTATCCTCTGATTTAGGCTATATGCAATTTATTCCTAACTTTTAAAAATTATTACATAACCCTGTATAATTAGTATATTGTGCACAATTAACACCTTTATCAACATAAATAAAAAGATTATTTTATTCTCTTCTATATAACAGTCATGCATTTAAGAGTTGTGTTGAGAGAATTTAAGCTATCAACATACGATTTAACAAATTATCATTAACTTCCTAATTATTTATTCAATTCTTAACTTTTCAATCTAATTTAAATTTAATTATATTTTCATAACAAAATATATATGTGTATATATATTTTATACAAACATATATACATTCATATATATATACATCATTATATATTTATACATTATATATTGTAGATATATTGGAATCGTAAAATAATTTTGAATTCATCAACATCATGTTTTTGGAATATATAATTTGTGAATGATAATGTGGGAGATAGATGATAATTTCTGGAATCATAAAATTATTTATCAACACATCATGGTCGTGGCTCTTTCTTCTTCTCCAACTTCAAATCCTCTGGCAAAACCGCCATCGCCACCGTCCCATCAAGCACTCTCTCACTCTTCCCTTTCTTCGAAACCTTCTACATTGAAAAACTTGAATACGAATCGCTCTCTTTGGGAGCATAAAACGAGAAGAAGTAATGCGATTCGTCGAGTGTAACCGTTGCCACGTCCTTGGCCAACGGCCGCTGGATCTCGTCGGCGACACAAGCGAAGACGGCGACAATGTTATCACCTTGCCGGAGACAAAGAAGCAAATCGCCGCAAGCGAGCTTGACGCTGTACTCTTTGTCGATCAAATGGAGGATCGCACCGGAGACAGTGAGGATGAATTCTTTGACAGACTAAGAAAGGGGAGAAGGGATAGCTGGGTAGAGGTTTACAATCTGGATATTGACGATGAAGAAGAGGGTAGACTTTAGAAATTGATGATGTCTGTTAGTATATTATTATATGTTAATGTTTAGCTTTAATAATTAGTGTCCCCTTACTTTATGCTTTCGGTGCCTCAATTGGCATCCTATGTTGTCTTCTCCTCTCTATAAAGAGAGTGTACATCTCTTTGTAAATATACACAGAAATACAGAGTTATTCATTTGCTCTCTCTCCTTCTCTTTATCAAACTATTGTTACATGGTATCAGAGCTAAGTTAACAACCTAGTCATTCTGCTTCACCGGCGGGCGGCAGTCTCGCCTTGGCCGCCCGCCGGACCTCTACACATACCTTCACTCCGCTGCCACATTTCTTGCTGTCATGGACCATCACTCTCACCTTCAAGGCCACATTTATTGCTGTCGTGAACCATCACTATTTCTTGCTGCAGCTTTGTTACAACATAGATCATACCCACGTCGTCGAGCACCCCGTCGGCCCACACAACAGCCACCGACGCCGTGATTTGGCCAACGCCGACCACGCCACCTGTCACCACTGCTGCAGATGCCGTGACACAGGTTCCTGCTAGCTCACCACCGACGCAACCACCGCCGATGAGCTCGCTGGCTGGAGTGGCGCCGAGGACCAGCTTTTCCATGAAGTTGATCAACTCTTCGTAACACTTGGCGTGCTCGGCGAGTTTAGCCATGTGCACGTACTGTTCTTTCGTTAAGCTGTCTGGTACTCACATGGTCGCCATATACTAGAGAGAGAGAATGGAAGTGTGTTGTGTGTTACCTAGATCAATGCCCTCTTCACAGATTCTTTCTTTTAAAGCATCACCATCCTGCTTCTTTCTCAACTCCGTAACCTCAGTTGGAATCTGCCAGCTGCTCAACTTGGTTTTAGTGTTGTGATAATATCTTTTGCCATCATTTGTGGTGACCGATGCCCAATCTATGCCAATTAACTTCTCCCATGAAACTGGAGTTGGCTGGGCATGTACTTTATCAGGCTCTTCTTCGACGAGGTGGCATGGCTCACAGAGAGAATGAGAGAACCAGCACACCTCTTTTAGCACCGCCACCGCCATCGCCAATTGCATCCCATTTACCCAGTTCAAATACAAAACCAAAAAACCAAAACCATGTGCTGGTTTTAAACAAACTAATGGCCAACTGTCCGACACAACCGCACAACCACACCTAGCTTCGTTGGAGCCACTCCCCACTCACCTTTCTTTTATTTTAATATATATATATATATATATATATTTATTTATTTATTATAATATATTACCCAACCCTCTCATTTCCCTCTCTCTCCTCTCTCACTATGCAGAGATCCAGCAACACCAGATCAGCCCGTTTTCTTATGGGGAGATATTATTTTGAGACTCAAATGCCCACTTTATCACCATACTCAACAACAACAGACTCCACACTCACATGTTCCCCACTTTTTTGCTTCACTCACATTGTTCCCCACTCTTCCCAACCTTAAATAAAAAAACAAAAAAAAAGGTAGACGGTGCCTTCTTTACAATAGACCACTCACTATGTCAATTTTTGCACAAACCCATACCCACTCACACCTTAAGGAACCAGCAGTCTGATCCGCCTACCCCCAACTTTATTTATTTTATTTTCTCTTTCCTTTTTTCTTTCATTCCCAAAAAAAATATAAAAAATAAAAAATAAAGAAAAAAAACTCAAACCCATCATCCCGTTTCTCTCGAGATTTCATTATTTTAACACTCAGTTGGTGAGCATTTTCAAATTCCTGTTCCCACTACCTTTATTTTATTTTATTTTTTTCTATCTTTCTTTTTCCACCCTTTTTCCATTTTCTTATTATTTTTTATATTCTACATACAAAAAAAAAAAAAAAACAAATAAAAAAAAACTCTTTCTACCATTTTTTTTTTTTTATAACATCTCCACTCTGTGTTGAGCCGTTCCGCTCCACTTTCTCCATCCATTTGTTTCAATCTCAAATAGGTTTCTATCTTCAAACCTATTTGAGTTTGCGGGGGAGTATTATACATATATCATGGTGAGCATGGTTACACACCATGCGAACCACCAAAGCTGGTGAGCATGGTTATACACCATGGGAACAACCCTAGCCACCCCATGGCGCACTCCCTAAGTCGCCTCCTTGGTGCACCACCAAAGCTTCTACATCGGTCCGGCATGACCCCGTAAACTGTCCCGACATTGATTCCGGTCAGCTTCTACAACGGTCCGGCATGACCCCATAAACTGTCCCGACATTGATTCCGGCTAGCTTCTACAACGGTCCGGCATGACCCCGTAAACTATCCCGACATTGATTCCAGTTAGCTTCTACATTGGTCCGGCATGACCTCGTAAACTGTCCCGACATTGATTCCGGTTAGCTCTTACAACGGTCCAACATGACCCCGTAAACTGTCTCGACATTGATTCCGGTTAACTTCTACATCGGTCCGGCATGACCTCGTAAACTGTCCAGACATTGTCTGCTACAACGGTCCGACACGACCATACAGTATCTTTTCCAACGGTGTGACACGACCATACCGTGTCTTCAACAACGATTTGACACAACCATACAGTGTCTCCTATCCTATTTTATTTTATTTATCAGTTTACTTTCCTGTTTTGTTACTCTCTCCAAACTCAAGTTGGTTAGTACCTATCCTCCTTGAGTTTGAGGGGGGCTGTTAGTATATTATTATATATTAGTGTTTAGCTTTAATAATTAGTGTCCCCTTACTTTATGCTTTCGGTGCCTCAATTGGCATCCTATGTTGTCTTCTCCTCTCTATAAAGAGAGCGTACATCTCTTTGTAAATATACACAGAAATACAGAGTTATTCATTTGCTCTCTCTCCCTTTCTTTATCAAACTATTGTTACAATGTCATTTGCACATTAGGCGCGTGTCTACGTTGGATAGAAATGTTAATTGTACACTTCAATCTAATAGCTATAGAGGTTATATGGTGATTTCCAAACGGCGGAAGAATAAACTGCATGCAGCTGTAATCACAGGGATTAAAAATGAAGTTTCAACATTCCTCTAATTTTATTTTCCACAAAACTGGAATTTTATAACTTTCGTTTTAAATTATCAAACTTTTTGTCTTATACAATATATTATTTTTATATAGCATGATAAGTCACATTATTTTCATTTTATATCATGTTGTTCATATACATATAATTTTATTAATTTCTATATATAAGTGAAATACATGACAAAATTTTATCATTTGATTGGATCCCTAAATTTTAATTCTATCAATTTGATTCATTCATAAAATGTAACAAAATGAATACTTTTTAGACCATACACGCATTGTATTATTTTTTTCAAATGACCTTTTGAAATTGAATTAATTTTACTCTTCTTTTTTTTAAAACAAAAAAAAAAGGCAAAATTGAGAAACGAATATTTGGAGGAGCAAAATGGCAAGTACTTTTTGCTGCAGCAACAAGACCAGCAATGCAACCTAATTCAGTTTCAGGAACCAGTACATCAACAGACCTGTGATTCAACAAACTTCCTCCAATTCAAAATCACTACAGTAATAAGCTGAGATCACTATTCAACACACTCCAAATCCAACAAAACACTTTTGGCACCATTTAGATTCTGGATTTCCCTTCTTCAACTTCTCAACAATCAGAGAGTTCCAACTACAATTCCAATCCCCAGAGCACAACTTGAATCACAACTGATCTGCTCTAGTAAACCAGCTGGTCTAAACTCAATGTGAAAAACACCTTCTCTTCCTTTACTCTGTTTGAATCTCATTCAAAACAAAACATCAACAACCAATTCAGGATTGATCTCTTACACAAAGTTTAGACATTTAAGCTGAAATGGGCAACAGACCTATTACTTTAAAAGTTTCTCTATAATATCCAAAATCTTCAAAATTGGTTCCCAAATCTCAATAAAAATGCCCAACATTACAATAATCTTCAAAGGCATGTTCAGATGCCAAAGAACAACAAACGAACCACTCCATACACTGAAAACTATCAATAGCTATTTAATTACCGGGTTCTAAATGTAAAGAAGCCAGGAATAAAAAAGCTTTTGCCTCCACATAAAGACGAAGCAAAGATCACTCCTCCATGCGATTTTCCTCTGATTGCTGAGAAGAAACCTTGACTTTCTTCGGTAAAATAAGAGAAGGTTCCGGTTGGAGGGCTGCAGGAGCCCTGATCATGTCGATGCTCTGCTTGAGCTCCTTTGCTGCCTCCTTCGGTTCCTTGGATCTCTTTTCCTTAAACCTATTTTCATGATGTAGTAGACATTAATAAGAGGGAGGGGTAGCCATTAATAAGAGAGGGGGGGGGACACAGTTCATAATATTCTTAACAGAGAGAGCAAACCTATTTTCATGATGTTTGGCCTCCCTTTCAACTCTGACTTTATCAATCTTCTTAATGGCCTTCAAAGTGTTCTCAGCAAGGTTTCTGTCATATCTCTCCGGCCTATTTCGCTTCCTCTCAAACTCAAAGGTTGAATCCTTGGAAGTTGAATACGAAAAAGCAAAATAACAAATTATCACCATAGCATGTTAACCGTATTAGAGGAAAGAGGGGGAAAGACGAGTAAATAAAAGAGTCTTCTTTACCTGTGTCATATCCTTTCCATGCAGTCTCCTATAAGCCTTGGTCCACTTAACTTTACGAGGATTCCTCTTCATCTTAAAGTTCTTGTGACATTTAGATCGACAAAATCGGAAAATCTGCATTTGGAGTGGTTGTCAGGAGTCTTAAGTCAATAGCGATATTAACTATAATTTGACAATCTACATTGGCTACCATATTGTTCTATAATGATAGCTTGAATTAAGACATGTTCCAAGTACCATCTTAAATGAAAAATCTATAATATTATATAAAGCACACAACTCATAAGGTTTTTGAAGTTATGCAAGGCTTTTTATTTTTCCAAAATTAACCATATTTTTAACTGCTTCAGAGAATAATTGTTAACAGTGTTCAAATTCAACCTATCTTCTCCATTCATCAAATTATAAAAAAAATTTAAACTCATCATGTTTGCACACCTTGTTTGGTTTTAATTGATTTTCTAAAAATTGAGTTTTTGTTTTTCATGTTTTTTGTTTTTAGTGGATTTTTTTAAAATAAAAAATTTTAAACCAAAAACAAAAAAAAAACAAAAACAAAAACAAAAAGTTCAATTTTTTGAAACCAAACAAGGTGGTTCAAATGAAAACCCAGGTCAAGACAACATGAAACCTCACGACTACCTCCCTACAGAATTGAAAAGCCTACTTGGGTCAGGTCTGTGTAGATTGAAAAGTTTCTTCAACTTACACAGGAATCATTATCAGGTTTCCAGACCCATGACCTAGTGTTAAGTTTGGTTCAGTTGCAAACCAACAAAGGGGTCTGGCTTACGAAGCACGGGTACTACGAAAATGTTACCGTACTCGTACCAAGTATTTATCGGGTATTGGTATTCGTATTGATAGGGTTGCATGCATATCAGGTACTCAAAATACGAACCAAGTACTTTTTACACATTCTTTGACAGTTGGATACTCTATGGTGGGTACTTCGTTGGTACAAGATGGATAAATTGTGAGTACACCAAGCTATAGAATATTAGTAGAGATACGTTTAATTTATTAAAGAGTTATAATTTACTTGAAATTGCAAATCCATTACTTGATGTGCCAAAAATGAAAGATGAATTATTCAATAATGAAATCAATGGAAGTGAAAATTGAAATTTCAAGTTTTCAAATTTTGCTTAACTTGCTTTTGAAATAAAAATTTGTTTTGTAATTTTAATTTCACTTATTTAATGGCATTAAATTAGACTATGGACTTTGCTTTGATATTGATATAGTTGAACTATGATTTCTTTTTTGATTTTGTAATTTCTCCTTTTAATTTTAGTATTGAACTTTGACTATAAGTTGAATCTGAAACTATAAATTATAAAAAATGAAAAATTTATTGATGTACCCAATAGTACCTGTACCCTAATTTTTTTAAGTCTTGCCGTATCCATGTATCCCTAAAGCACCCGCACCCGTGCTTCATAGGGTCTAGCATTTCTCTTCATATTCTCCGGTCTAACCACAATAAAAACTATGTGGGTGTTTGGGAGGTTGCTATTTTAGTTTTTAGCTATTTTAGGAGGTTAAAATTTTTGTATTTGAGAAGATAATTGGATTTTTTTGTAATTGGATGTGATGTTTGTGAGAGAAAAAGTAAAATAATTATGGGTTTGATATGATATTTTGTCTTATTAACTATTTTAGTCTATTTTGTCTTTTAGTATTATTTGAGCCAAAAAAACTAAAAAAGCTCCTTCCCAAACACCCCAAATGTACTGGAATCACATATTCCAAGAAACAGAATAATAGGACAACCCACAAAGTGTAAAATAAGGCTACACATTTCATCCTTTCGAATAGAATCTTTTCTTATTAAAAAAAAAAAAAGGCTACCTTAGCGTCATTCCTAACAAACTGAATACCATGCCCAGGATATACAGTAGAGGAACAGAACCAGCATTTTTCCAATCTCATGGCGGATTTGGGTTACAAAATCCTCTATTCCCTGCAAGAGACAATATATCATCATACAAAAGATTAAGCAAGGCCATATTTACTAAATCAATTGACAAGCCACAAGGCATCACCTATGAAACATTAATACAAATACAGACACCGGACACAGACATGCCGACCTGGTTTTTTTCTAAAAATTTCCTAAACAGCCAAGTTGAATAAATCTATACTACTATATAAAACCTAACACCAGATCGTCAAAAATTCAACTATTCATCTTCTTCATTCCTCAACTACCCGCACATCCACCGCTAGTGTATATATATATGTACTGTAAATTCATATATAAAAGTAGCATTATTTCAATCAAATTAGGGATACAAAAATACACAAATGACAGTAGTAGCACCAACGGATTACAATTTCACTATAAAGAAACACAAAACCTAATTTAGATAGAAATCACATTAACCAGAAGCAACTACAATAATTTACATATCAATCACTAATTCTATATTTAGATATCAATCAAACGAGAGAGAAATACAGAGAGAATCTAATAGTAACCACGATAGAAACTAAAATTAATCACAATAATGACTGAATAGCTTAAGATCTCTGGACTCACCGCCTTGAAGCGCTGTTCTTGTTGCTGCGTCGCTAGACGCCCGAGAGCGAAGAGCACGAAGCGAACGAGGGAGAGAGAGCCGGAGATGAGGATTTTGCCCTAACTTTAGATTTATGGGAAGGTTGTTACGGACCGACCGGGTATAGTGAACCGGTGCTGGTTCAACTGGTCCACCGGTTCCAACAATTTCTCTAAAAAAAGAACCGGATTTTCTATCTATAATCATCTATCATGTTTGGCAAAATTTAGATTTTTGTTTTTGGTATTTTCGTTTTTATCTTTGTGAATGTTTTTAATATTTTATGTAATTTTTTATATTTTTTAGATACACTTAGGTCTTGTTTGGTAATATTACTTTTGAGCTTAAAAGTCAAAAAATTACTAAAAAATTTAAAAAGCCAACAACATATATTAAAAAGTCAAAGATTCACTTTTCTCTCTACTTTTTGCACATCTATTCGCAAAAAATCAAAAAGTCATGCTAAGGGGGTGTTTGTGAAGAAAGATTTTAGCCTCTTTTAGGTTAAAATCCACAAAAAGACAAAATAGGCTAAAATAGCCAATAAGACAAAATATCACATCAAACTCATAATCATTTCACTTTTTCTCTCATAAACATCACATCCAATTACAAAAAAATCCAATTATCTTCCCAAACACAAGAATTTTAGCCTTCTAAAATAGCCTACAAAAATAGCAACTTCTCAAACACCCACATAAAGTCTTTACTTGGTAAACATTTTAGGACTAAAAAAACACAAAAAAACAAAATAGGCTATATAAACCAATAAGACAAAATGTCACATCCAACATATAATCATTACATTTTTTCTCTCACAAAAGTCAATAAAACTCAAAAACAAAAACTAAATGAGACTAAAAAAACCAAGCTAAAAAAGTCTCAACACAAAAAAGTTGGCTACCGTAGCCAATGCTAAACGAAGCTTAATTTTTTTATATCATATTTTAGCTAAAAAGTCAAAAAAATTATTAAAAAAACATATTCTCAAACAAGGCCTTAATCTAAATACATTTAAAAATATAATATTTGTAAAAACAATACTAAATACAAAAAAAATACAAAAATACAAAAATTCAATAAATTTTTATATTTTTTTATATTCAATAAATTTTTTTAAAAAATTTGAACATATTTTTTACTTTTTAAGTATATTAACATTAAGTAAATCTAAAAATTATAAACAAAATGATTAAAATATTTTTAAAAATCATCAAAAATACAAAAATATGAATTGAAAACTCAGAAAGCAACTTCTCAAACACCCACATAAAGTCCTCACTTGGTAAACATTTTAGGACTAAAAAAACACAAAAAAAACAAAATAAGCTATATAAGCCAATAAGACAAAATTTCACATCCAACCTATAATCATTACACTTTTTTTCTCACAAAAGTCAATAAAACTCAAAAATAAAAACTAAACGAGACTAAAAAAACAAGCTAAAAAAGTCTCAACACAAAAAAGTTGGCTACCGTAGCCAATGCTAAACAAAGCTTAATTTTTTTATATCATATTTTAGCTAAAAAGTCAAAAAAATTATTAAAAAAACATATTCTCAAACGAGGCCTTAATCTAAATACGTTTAAAAATATAATATTTGTAAAAACAATACTAAATACAAAAAAAATACAAAAATACAAAAATTCAATAAATTTTTATATTTTTTTATATTCAATAAATTTTTTTAAAAAATTTGTACATATTTTTTACTTTTTAAGTATATTAACATTAAGTAAATCTAAAAATTATAAACAAAATGATTAAAATATTTTTAAAAATCATCAAAAATACAAAAATATGAATTGAAGACTCAGAAAATTGTTCAACAGGTCGGCTTAGTCCCATTTTGAAAACCTTAATTCTTACAAATACATTTTTTAAGATTTATTTAAAATATGAATTGTCTTTATAGTTTAAAAAATATAAATATCCCTTTGTTATAATTTTTTATTTAATAGAATTAATAAAAAAAATATTAACTGTACCATAATTGTTAATTAAAATATATTTCTAACATTATTAAAAATTATAATTGACTTAATAATTTATTAATAAAATGGATTATTTGTTATTCAGTTAGAAATTTGAAGGAGCGAGAAATCTCAAAAAGTATATTTATAATTTACCATTTTAATTCTCACTCTTTTTTATTTATTGAATTTGAGCTAAAATATTTATTTTAAGTATATGGGACGACACATTAAGTTTGACTGTACACTCGTCTTTTGGGTAAATGTGGAAATATTTTTTTTAATTTTAATTTTTTTTTCTCTATACATAAATTAGGGGTGTTCGCAGTTAAGTTGTGGCCGGAGAACCTCCAATACGCTATCTGTTCGTCGAATTGGCGGATTGAAAAAATTTAATTTGCATCTGTCTGTCAAATTGACGGATGTAGATTGACGGCTTGGTGGATGGATACGAATCGGTTTGACGGTTTAAACTTTTACAAATTTTGAACATAATGCAACAATTTGTCAATATTTTTTTTAGATAACAATCCAACTCAACATAACCAAAAGATTATCAACTAAATTGTTAAATACCAATAATAAATACATATAAGAAAATCATGCATTATCAAAACTATTTAAGTACTTTTTTCTTTATTCAAAAACTATTTAATTTAATTTTTTTTTTTGAATGACAAAATTAATCCTTATATTTTTCACACAAAAATACCAAATATCGACACTTGTCATTTGATAAAAGGATTTTCAAATTAAAAACACAACAAAATATCTAAACTCTTTTTCAATTACAAACACAAACAAAATATCTAAGCAAATTGAAACATAAAGTCTTATAAATTATTAAGCGTGCTCGCGGTTTGGCGGTTCGATTACGGTCAAAGGAATCTCAAATCCGTCATCCGTCCAAAACTAGGCGGATTAGAAAAAAAAATTAATCTATAATCGTCTGCTCATCATCGCGCATCCATCCAAAATGTGGCAGATCAGTTCAGTTTGATCAATTTGAGCAGATCGGAATATCAGCTGAGCACCCCTAACATAAACAAGGTTGTTTATGTCAATGTCTTAAAAAAAGAAAGTGTCAAGGAATTGCCAAATGAATTAGCATATCTTGACCACGAAACAATGGCCTATTTTTGAATGTTGGTTAAAAGTCAATTTTTGGGCTTTTTGATTTTTTTTGAATTATATCACCTCTCTGCTTTTTTATATGATTTTTTTAAAAATCCAGAAAGTCAACTTTTTAACGTACTTTCCAAAATAGGCCTCACATACATCACGATGAATCACCCTCCTCCCCTCATTTTAGTCGATACAAGTTTAATATAATAATTGTATTTCACTTTTAAGTCTTTATTCATCAATTTTTTAAATTGGTTGTGAGGGTAGTATGGCCCATTGCCTTTGCTTCTATTTTAAGGGTGTCGCTTGGAAGCTCAAAACTTTTGTAGCTTAAATTGACTCAAATAATGTGGCTTGATAATATGAAAAATAATTATTAATTCAATGTTTTTTTTTTGATAGGATACTAAACCTAGTTATCAACTCTTTTCTTGTAAATTTTATATCTTTAACAGCACTAGTATTTAGTAGATTTTGTAAAAATTCACGACGTTGGTGACAATTTGCGATTAATATTAGTACTTGATTACGATGTAGCAACAGATCTTGGATATAGAAATGGTAATATAAACTCATAAAAAAGATAAACTTATTTATAATTCTAAGATGTTTTGATTTTAGGCCCACTGTGCTTCCAAAATAAGAACAGTGTCTAAGGATTTTGACCGTTACTTGAACATAGTCGGCGTAGAGCTCTGGCGTTGACAAGTTTCCAGTTTACAGAGGTAACTAACCTCAACTTTTCCTTCCTTAGATTAGGCTCAGCACAAATTTGTTTCGTTTCCTACCTCAGATCGTAACTTTAGAAACTGTTTCTTTGGTTACGCAAGAGACCTAAGATCAATAACTAAACATACAGTAGTAACACATTCTTTTCTGAAAATGAAAAACCTTTTTATTTATTGAACAAAGATTTACAAGAAAATGGGTGTCTGTAGACTGTTGGATTGCTAGAATGTTATTTGCTTTAAGAAGGCCTAAGAACCAGACTTATTTCTTAGTTTTAAATATACTCTAAGTAATCTCTCCCATTTTGCTCTCCCTCAAGGCATTTATATAGGCATCTTATGGACTTCAAAGTCTGAACTTCAACCTATTCTATAAACATAAAATATTTTATACATTAATTTTTTTTTGTTACTTAAAGACAAACAAGAGACAAACTAATAGGTGGTGTGGCCACATGTTGATTTATTTATGAATAAAAGACACTTGGTGGTGTAGTCACATGGAAATGTAATTTTTAGTCCATGGTTTTGCCAAATTGCCTATGGTTTTGTCAATCCATTACATTGTCTAGATTACATACCCCCTCATCACCCATGATATAATGAAGATCAAAGTTTGCATCATATTCTTCAAACATCACATCTCATCCTTTAGATCTTATTTCATCAGATATTTCTCTAATCTTTCAGATAAATGTCCCCGAATCTACCTATTTCAAATAATCATATACTAATTCATAAGGCAATCCTAGAACAATTAACTTTTCTACCAAGGATGGTGTTATTGTGAACGCAGTCCTTCCATAATAAACTAATTTGAATCCAACTCTTACTAATTCTGTAGTTTCATGAGATATTATGAAAAATCCTCTTGCTCTTGCTTTTGTTGGATCTAATATAAAAGGTTTATCATAATCTTTGAGCCAATCACATTTGTAGGAGATCACATCTTTCTTGTCTTTGACTTTTATCAGATAATGAGATGCATTTAGACGTTCATGCTTTACCTCCATGTGGATAGTAATAAATGTGATAGGTGTCAAGCTTGGATATTCTTTATAGACTTCATAAATTTTCTTGAACATAAATTGTTGGAATTTAGTGAGTTGAGAGAATATAGTACTCTGTGGGTGAGGTGGAACGTCAAATGTATTGATTATTCCCAATTTTCACATTTGAACTAAAGGATCTTTTGTGCTGATGACTTTGTTTGGATTGAATGAAACTTTTAACATTCTATAATTGTACAAGGTTGTCTGTCTGTTGAAGTAGCACCACTCAGTTCCTAGATAGGTGACACATTCTCCA